ATCGTAGTGGGAGGCCATGACCCAGATGTGGAGGATGGTACCTGAGCCAAAGAACTGTGACCCGGGGCAGCCCAAGGCGAATATGAGCTAAGGATAATGTGTCAGTATGAGAGATAAGAGGCAGGGGGGCCAGAGGTGGTATTACCTTGTTCTGATCGGGTCGAGCTGAGGAGCTGCTGGCTTCGGCGCGTCAAAGGTGAAGGCTGACCTTGGTGGTAGCTGGAGAGTGTCTATGCTGCTTCTGGGTTTTGCGTCTTGTTGCTTCACGTTGACTGCTCCTGCTACAACCCCTAGGCCCGTTTCAACCAGTGCTTGTCCTCGAGAACCAGCACTGGATCCTAACAAGGGGATTTCTTTCCGGGCTTGGAAGTTGCGAGGGCTTCGTCCTCGCACGACAATAGGGGCCGTGGTTGATTCGGTCAATACAACCTTTGAGTTGTTCGAAAGTGTACCGAATACTTTCAGATGAAGAACGAAGTGCTGTTGAAGCTCCTTTCGTCGCCCATTGTTGGCTGTCGCACTGTGACCCGGTCAGCTGTCTAGAATACTCGGCAAGTCTTGTCTTGAGCAACATACATTCGGAACTGTAGCCGCCGCCATCCGATGGGGTACACTGCAAACTCCCCGTCTGCTTCAGCGTCCTCTTCTTGGAAGGGGATCAGTGGCAGAGCCGGTGGCTCTTGATCGGGGCTCTGGTTGACGTCTGGATAGTTTGGTGGGGGGGTCTTCCAGGGGATAACAATTAGTCGCACGGGGTTCCCATCGACTGATTCGATGGCCGAAATCGTCACCTCCATACTGCTGATGGGCACGCTCTCCCCAGATTCATTGAGCACGGACAGTTGACCTCTAGGTGTAATTAGTGATCCGCTTATCTGGAACAAGTTACGACGATAACAAGTTAGCTCTGGCTGAAGAGCAGTGCCATCGTTTGCATTCGCAGGCATTTCCGAAAGGAAGAACATCCCGTGTAGTTGCGCTGATAGCTCTAGTTGCTGTAGTCGTCCATGTTGATCAGTAATTGCCTGGCTCTCCTGGGATCTTCGAAAAGATAAGAGCTTGTGATCATGGCTTGTCTGTGGTCGCGAGTTGTCACCTCGAAGATCCTGGGAGACATCATGGCCACTCGATTGATCCGTTTGTGAGAAAGGGCGCTTTAGATGATTCTGATACCCAAGATGGGTACTTGGTCCTGCATGCGACGACCCGCTGTACGGGTCAGCATCTTCGTGAGAGTATCGGCTGTACGAGTATGTTTGCTGGTCGATGCTTGCTTGGTCACTCCTTGCCCGTCCAGAATGCGGCGATGCTGGAGGCGGGTTGGAAAGTCCAGCGTCAATGGAGGTGCCCATCCTCGGCGTCATATGAACCGGTCCACCATAGTTTGGCCAGAGACTAGACGGCGCTGGGTCACCTCTCAAGTCTGGCATAGTAGCCGAATAAGCTGCTGTGGCTGTCATGGGGGCATATCTTTGTAAACCTGTCGCGTATCCAATGGCCCGAAGTTCGCGATACTTCTGGTGTAACTGTCACAGGCGCCAACAAAGAAAAACACCCGAGATGGCTGCCTTCCCAAGCCAACCGTCTCGAGGCAAAGCAGTGACCACACTTCCCGTGTAACTCTCAAGTTGGTGTCTGAACCGCAAACCAGCCCAACTTACGAGGATATGATTCAAGTATTGGGAGGTGATTAAAGAAAGACGTGAGGAGATGATGCGTGAGGATGCAGATGCAAGTGTACTTGTATTTGTCAAACTGGAGACCGCGAACGCATGCTGGAGGGGGCGTCTAGTGAAGCACCCAGCACTGGCTAAGGGGTGTAGAAGAGCGCGCTCCATGTACCTTGGCATGGGGCGGGCCTCACTTATGTCGTCTACTAATGGGCCTGCGAGGAACATGAGCCCAAAACAAGCCTTACGGGAAGATTGATACATATTGGCAGGGGGGGGACTTTCCACCTCTGACTTATGGACAACAAGCGCCGGACCGGGTAGTTGAGCACAATCTGGGTGGCTTCAGAGCAAGTACATAGCGCATGCAACTGTTATAGGAAGGAGAGAAAGATTGGAAGCGCAAGTCATGAGACTGTTTGCTGGAGCGTCAAGACCTGGGAGCTGCACATGAGAACCGCAAGCGCTCCCTCAGACCGTGGAGGGTCATTTCTATCGTAGGCAATCCGATTTGTGCTCGGCATAGATGTACCGTCCCTACCAGCGATGCAGAGCGCTTCACTTGTGAGCAGCAACCCTCCGCAATGTCCACAAGCACTGCGACGAGAGACTTGCAAGCCAGAAAACACGACTAGTCGAGAACGGGGCTTCTCCAGACACCCTCCCCTGTCTGCCGAGGGGGGACAAAAAAGAGGAGTCAGCAGAGCCTATACTCAGTAGGGACAGGTCCCCTGATGATGGGCATTGGTTGTGAAGAGACGGCCTATCATAATGATGACAAGCATACACGTACCGGAGACGGGCGGGGGGGCGAGACCGGGGTGCCGAGACTTCGCCCGCGGGCAGGCTGTAAATCAATGCAAAAGTACAGGGCACTTGTCTCGGTATGTACATTCATGGAGGGGCGGACGGTAGGAAGGCCAAGGATGGGTGGAGCATCGGCTCAAGAAATCTTGAGAGGACCTGTCAAAGCCATGCTTGCAGGGGACCCCTCCTTTCCGAGCGAAATCCCTGATGCTGGCGAACCACAAGGAATGGTGGGCTGGATCGTTTCCAGGACGGGGAAAGATCACAGACAAGAAGAATCCTCCGAAGCCTGTGACAGGCCAATGGTCCGCTCTTTTCCCCGAAGACCGCTGAGCATAGAGAAGGAGAACAAATGGCAACAGCAGCCAGAACTCGCCAGCATTCGCAAAACCAGCGCAACTCGACATGTCGCGAAAAGGGCAGCCGGCCGGCTATCGGAATGCGCAACGTGCAATGCCTCTTGAGGGACATAGCCAACCACGAAGGCGGTCAGGTGTACCAACTTGAACGCGATGATTGCAGTAGGCTAAAGAGCCTCAAGAGTCAGGCACCTTTGAGCTAAGCTAATAACCCTGCACCTTATATCAGAGACGGTAGGTCAATACTAACGTTGCCCAGGCCTTCAAGTGCCGGCTGTCATTCATCACTTAGAAAAGCTAGAACCTTAAGAGGGTCAAATCACTCACCTAGGCTCGATGCGACTGGCCGACGGCCGAATCAACAGGCCTCGGCGGGGCAAAAGCTCGCGGCGCGGTGCAGCCGATGAGGACGCGGATGACACTACCAAGGTGGGGTGTTCATCAATGGGCGATGCGCGCGCAGCGTCAAGGTCACATTCAACCCGCATAGTCAATATGCACTTGATCTCTGGGATTCCCGCGACACTCGATTACTCCGTAAGTCTCTCCAGGCGCGATGGCGTCTCTAGATGGTGAGATAAGACTCGACGGCTGTACCTACATATGGAGACTGGCCGGTGGAGGCTGAGGATTGATCCAGGGTGAGGGTGCAGGCGAAGGGCACAGAGGTGCAGGAGGTTAGATGCACCGAGCCGCGGTGGGCTTGAGTAAGATGATGGCCCAAACAAGAAGTCGCATCCCATTCCATATATCTCCGTGCCATGGTGGGTGACGACCGGGTACGGAATTGCATACTAGCGGATAGCATCAAACATGGTTCCAGGGCGTGATGCTCAATGTGAATGGCGCTGGTTAATGTTGAACCATTGTTCGCAGGGAACGCACCTTAATTGATGCTGTGTGTCGCTCGCACCCTGGTCCCTCGTCGACAGAACAAGGATCAGCGCCCATCCGCCTTGTCCAAGATGTCACAGGTTGCCCACACGCGCATGCATTCTCTAGCACATTAGTGGGAACGGGACAGCTAGGCAGCTGCTGGTGTAGAACCACGGCCAGAGCCCGCCGCTGTGATAAGAGAGGCATATCCTCACGGTCGAGCGCGTCGACAGGAGCGCGCGCATGCACACACACATTGCGGGTAAGCACCAAACGCAGGCCGCCGGGGCAGGAGGATCTCAGCGAGATGACATAACATGACCTGACCTGGCTGGCAAGATAGGATAGGATAGGACAGGAGAGGCAGGGCTGGAATGGGATACGAAGACAGACTCGAAGCGTGGGAGGAGAGCTTCGGGGGAAGAGCACGTCAGTGTACCCATGGAAGTTGCCCGGCGAGAAGGGGGAGGGGGGGGAAGGAGCAGGGGAGCAACAACCCTGCACGGGCAGGTCCCACCTCGCTACTGTACAAGAGCAGAACCTCTGCTCGCGCGCCAGCCACCGGCAAGGACAGCCAAGGAGGGCAGAGGAGAGGGCTGCATGCGAGACAGTGCGAGTGGCTCCGCGTGCACCGTATCAAAGTCCCTTGCACGTGCCACAGTGCCACACCCGTGCCGTGTGCGTCGCATGCTCCTCCCTCTGTGGAGGCCAGTGCCTTCCCGCGAGTGTCGAGCCCATTATTATTACTATTTTCCCAGCAAATTACGGACCCACGATCGCGACTTTAAAGGGAAACCTGGTCATGGAGGGTAGGTGGTACAGAGGGGGTCGAGGCAGATAAAGGTAGGTGGTAAGTACCTATCTTCGGTAGTTGCGACCGGAGGGTGGCTAATGGAACGTGTCGATCCGGTGAGATTCCCTCGCATCCAGCCCTCTTTGGACCTTAGGATGGGAGCTTGACCCAGGCCACATGCCCCCATCGATGTTGATGATGCTCTGAAATCTCCCTCTCCCGCCTCGACATGGCCCTTTTCTGTCTAAAGATCCATTTTGTCGCCCATTCTTTATTGAGCCAGCCAATGGGGCGCCCCTCGTACATCGGCCGGCATCCAGACTCGCAGCATCCGTAATTGAAGACGCCCGCCGCACGGCATGTTGCCAACCACCTTCCTAGTCAAATGGTTCTTGACTACACTACGAACTGGCAAGAGGAAGCCATCTCGCCAGGTGATCCTTGGGTTCATCGTCCTGATGAACTCGACAATCTCTTGTCCAGACCACGGCTGACATGGCGCGCTATCAGCGAATCTGTCGTCTTCAGTCAACGGCTTGCACCCTCTTATCTCAGATACTTTGCACCCCGGGATCAAAGGCGGATGCGAACCTGAACAAAGAAAGAAGGTACCTAACTCAGTACCCCAGCCATGCTGTTGTGACAGACGTTTGCTACGACTTGATCACTTCGCCCCCCTTTTTTATCTCCCCTTCAAAAGCCAAATCCTTGCGTCAATCCAATCATGTCCCTCACACCCCTCTACCCCCCCTCCAAACACCATCCTCTTGCTCATTCATTTACAATCTGTAAACTAAGTGAATAATTGAAATATCAGTCAGGCCAGACCTCGGCTACGGTATCATCATCATCGTCATCATGTTGAATTTTCCCGCCGAGCTCTCACCTCGGTTTGTATTGCATTGTAGCAGCTGGGTTCGTGTAACCAGCGTTGCTAAGCTGGAGATATTCAAGATGACATGCAAAAATGCTACGATCCCGCCCACATCTCAGATCTAATAATCATTTTGGGTACGAGATTGGTGGGGATTCACAAAACATTCAAGCAATCGCGTTGGATTTCACTTGTTTTGTCCTGTTACCCTGGTAGTTACTGGTTTGGGAATCAACCAGGACCTTTAGTCCACTACTCCGTATTCAGCAGAATGGACAAACTGAGCGGCATGCCCAAGATCCCTCTCTTTCCCAGACGAGAACTACGAAGATCATTGCGACATCCGCCTACCAGGTATACCTAGCGCGGTGCGCATGGTCCTCAACAATCGCCCCTCGGCGGAGAGGACATACGGTTGTACATCATCTCCCAGCCGACAGACTCTCTCTTGCCATAACCATCATGGGCTGGGGCCTCGCGCAAGGAAACACCCTGATCATGGGAATGTCTCTCGCACGATGCGGTCATTTGGCCACCATGATATCAGGCAGGTAGGTATTGATGGGGCCGAGAGGGATGGTGATGGCGGCGAGTGATGATGATGGCATGCCAGATCTTGCAACGGATGACGAAACTGGTGCTCAGGACAAGAAAGCCTCAGCGCCTGTCAGATGCACATGTCCTACACAAAGCTCAAATGGGGTGGACCGTTGACTGTCTAAAAAGCGAAGCCGCCCGCCCCCCCTGTGAAATCAAGGTTGTCACAACACCAAACAGAGGTCCAATCGCGACACTCGTCTTAAACATCCTGCGGCCGAAATACTTAGAGCCGGTGTTAAGATCAGGCTTGACCCCGGGCCCCGACCCCAACCGTCCAGGGTGTGGCACAACTACCGCCAGACGCTACCGCAAGTACTATGCAATACTTACCCGCCCTTCCACTCACAAGAAGTGGTGATTTTCCTACCTGTGGCTGCGATGGGTCGCTTTGTTCTGGTTGGTCGCTCACGACGGATTAAGTTGGGCACCCTTGGAAGAACTGCGTGGAGGCTGCAACTGCCATTGGAAAACGGGTTTGGCCTGCATGATGAAGAAATGAGGAATACTGAAGTCTGGTTCTTTTCGACGGCAGCGCCTCTCGGCCCCCCCCTCCTCCATCAAATCCTTTCTTCCCGCTGGATGCGGTTGAACTGGGCCGCCGGAAGTTGTCTGACGGGATCAACCCCAGTACGCGAGGCTTGCGGACGCATGGTGTAACCATATGTCGCTCTCTATTTCTGTATATTGGCTCGCTGCCCCCAATCTCACGTCGCAATGGAGCAAATGGGAGATGAAGTCGGAGATGAGCACCTTAGGCTCAACAAACCCCCAGATATCACTTCTGGATCTGGCTTGCCGACCCGCGCTGACTGATGCTTCCCTCTGGCAAGGCAATCCTGGGGCGCCTTCGGAAGCTTTTACTCACGGCCTAGGAGGAGAGTCTTTAGTCAGTCCTAGTGGATGCAGCTAAAGCTTAGTTGAGTCCTGGAACGCCCACTTTTGCCTGCTGCTCGCTCCCACTTAGTACCAACATCCGTCCCACTTTCTCACGTCAAGGAGGATGATGTGCGTTCGCCCGTTGTGTGAAGATAACGCTGGCCGTGGTCTCAGAATCCCGCCTTCCTCTCACGCATTTCGCGCACGACACTCGCCAATCGGGACGAAAAGGGCGGGCAGCGCACCTTGCCCACTCCCGGGTGTCACCAATCTAGGTCATGGGCGAGGCAGCAGTGCGACGATGAACTTGATCGATTGCCAAGCCCTCTTCCAGAAAATCCCCAGGGCTGCCCGTTATCTAACCCTGAAAGGGCCGAAAGGCAACCACCAACCCCGGCTTTTGTGGCCAATGCGTCTCTTGGCCTGTGCGTGAAGAGACCACACTCTCTCGAGCGCGAGATCGATTAAATTGCAATCAATGTATACGAACCCACCCACGCAAGCAGGCGTCCAGCAAGCCTCGCTGCACCCAGCTGCACGCGGATGTCGCGCCGCCCTCCTCCATCAGCTGTAACATGCCAATGGGCAAAACATTAATCCCCTGGGCTCCCCTCTTTTCCCTCCTGACCTCCCTCACCCCCCCTGACCCCCGAACCTAGAAGAGGCGGCTGCAGGTTAGTAGGCCTTTCTTGGCCAGGGTCAGCGTATGTAGCCACCCTGAAGCCGCGCTAAAGAGGGGTGTTTATCGTACGAGGCCTCGATGGGAGGAACTTCCAGGATTCTGATGCGCGAAATGCAGTTTTAGTCGGAGCCGGCCGAGGTACCCTTTCAAGGAAGAGGATGCAAAGGCTCGCTTGTTATTTACGGCCCGCAAGTAACGAGGCTACATTGGTAATAACGCGAGCTTATATGCAAGGAGCTGCTTACTCGACGCTCATTGAGACGGGAGTATCACCTAGGTTCCCTGCCTTAGGGAGCCGGGGATTCAGCCACGCGCTGTGATATTTCCGAGAGTTGGCACCTGTATGCTGACTCTTCACTTGGTTGTAGTATACACCGGGCTGCCTGTATTAACCGCCGCATCGACCAGGGGGTGATGTTGAATCAGCCATTCCGAGTTCCCCATTGTTGTGACCGATCCAGGCCCAGTGGAACTTATTGATAGAATCGGTACTTCGGGATTGGATAACGGTGTGACTGTTTGGTCTGCCCTCGAGTATCGTGGGCTTGCAGTTCTGCCCCGTCAGAGTCAGGTTCTCCTTGAAACCGCGTTAACCCTGGAAGCTGAGACGCGGGGCCGTTGTGCGTTCTCGTCCCGGTCCCTGGCTCCTCTGGCGCCAGCTCTGTAAGTGGCGTTCACCGACTCAATTTCCCAAAACGGGTTGATGAAGGTCTCCCGGTGCTGCCACTCGCGAGAAACGAGATGCTAGAGATGGCTAGTTTCACATTTGTTAATGGAGGCATGTTAAGAAGTGCTAAAAGCATTAAGCCTGCCTGATGCGTAGCAGGTCGTCTCATCCATATGAGGCTAACAGGTCGTATATTAAACCCATCTTATTAGGGGGTACGAAAAAACTATGCTGTGCTGTATTGTGAAGAAGAATGTAAAAAAACGCTTAGGCTAATCACCCTCTGCTACTCTATCCAACATGGACCAGTTTGTGCCTTGTGCTTAAAATTTCAGGTAGTCATTATCGTCTCTCTACATAGGGTTTCTAATGGGTCATTGAGAGGTCCAAGTGTCTTGTCTCTTTGGCATCAACGAATGCGAAAATTATCGTCGTCGTCATCCGAGCCCCCTTCGATCTCGTCTTCCGCGTCTAAGAGCGCCATCTGCACAAAGTGTCGTACCCAGGCTTGTTGCGCAGCATCGAGCCCTTCCTGCTGAATGCCTTCTGCGTTTCCTGCGGCTTCCAGGTTGCGTTGGGGTTCCTGACCCGGCCGTCTCCCTCTTCCACCTCCTCTTCCCGCTCCTCTCCCTCCCCGACCACGACCTCGAGCTGGCGCGCCTCCTCCCCGATTTGCTGCGTTCTGTCCTCGACCACCAGCGGGTGGGACATCAGGAGCGGCAGGCGGGACGGCCGGCTGGGCACCTTGGGGTTGCTCGTTGTCGAATAAACGTAGAACAAGCGGTGCTTCTCGAGCGACAGCCACGGGCTCCTCGCGTCTGTTGCGTTGCGGAACCGCACGAGCGACTTCCTCTCCTCCTCCTCCTCCTCCTCCGAAGTCGAAGTCGAAGTCCTCAACCACCTCCGCCGCGGGAGCCCTTACCGCTGGTGGCGGGGGGTTGTTGGCTTCCTGTCTTGCTCGTCCGCCGCCGTACTCGATCCCTACATCGTCGCCATCGCCCTCTTCCAATTCCCACAGTCGCATATAGCACGAAGTGACCTTGCCGCCGGGGATCGTGTTGTAGTGCATGTAGGGGTTGGCCGGGTCGAGCCAGGCCGAACACAAATAACAAAAATGCGTCTGGCAACGTGAGCAAATCATGTGGTTGCAGCCATGAGTCTTCTGCGCGGGCGCATCGCACGTCGGGCAGGGACTCGTGTGCAGCCGGATATACTCCAGGGAGGCCTTCTGGTCCTCGGTCAGCTCGCCGTCCTTGGCTCGGGGATGGCAGATTTTGAGCTCCCCGTGCCAGGACTGGAAGCACCGGCTGCAGAACGCGAACCCGCAGTCCTCGCAGATGGAGAGGAGCTCGCCCCGGTCGAACTTGAGGGGCTTCTTCTCTCCGGCCTTCTCGTCGTCGTTGTTGTTGTCCTCTGTTTCCGACTCTCCATCGGAAACCTCGTTCAGCTCGAGACCTTCTGGTTTCTTGTGCTTCTTCGAGCGGGCAGCCCCGTTGCACCACTGGCGAGGACAGTAGACGGTGTTCTTGTCAGATTCGAGCTCCGTCTTGTATTTGAGTGCGACGTAGCGCTTGACCGTTTCGTCTGTTAGGCCGATCTGGAGAAGCTCGCTTGGGCTGAGGGAGGTCTTCGGCTTCCTCTGCTTGCCGGTGGTTTTGGTTTGCGAAGCAGCTCGTTCCTTGGCACAGTTTGGGGAAAGACACTTGACCGTTGACAGGTTACCCTCCTTGATAGCATCGTTGTAGAAGTCCAGCAAACATTGTAGACAAAAGATGTGATCGCAATCTAACATTTTGTGACATTTCGATCCCTTTTTTGGGTCTTGGTGTATGGATCAGTACCGAAAACAATATCGAGAACAACATCGAGAACAATATCATCTGATAATAAAGAGGTATTACAACTTACCTAAACATATACCACATTCATAAGTCCCTTTCTCGAACGCGGCCCTCTTGGCTTTGATATCGTAGTCCAGAACCGCAAGTTTGTGTTCCGAAGCAACTTGGAGAGTCCCGTCGGGGCTGGTGATCCCAAAGACATCCTCGGCGGCTCGCTGGACGTGGTCTATGTATGTGAAAGCGACCATATCACGTCCCGCTTCTTCCCACAGACGAGGGCCATCTCCTACGAGCTTTTCGATGGTGGCTTGGGGCAGCCACTGAGGGTTTGTGGATACATGGGCTATGGGCGGGTTGTCTTCAGGATAGCCCTTCGGGAGGGTGATTCTCAGAGTTAGGGATGGGAGGTAGGTGACTTGGGAAGAGTCAACCTCCGCCTCCAGGGGCTGTCCCGGGTTGTCGGTGAGAGCAGTCTCATTCGTAACTGCCGCTGGGAATGTAACTGTCACCGGGGCCTGTGGCTCGACGGGAAGCTCGATTTCAAATGTGAACTTATCCTGGATGTCTGGATGACGGATCTCAGGGTAGATAGCCTCAAGAGTCTCCAGCTCGGAGTACCGGGGGTCATCACTATCAGAGTCCATTTTCCAACTTGTCTGGTAGAGCCTGTGGCACCATAACACTAAACAAATGTTCCGTATGCCTCCAAAACCTCTTTGATTGTTCTGGGGTCGCGTGAGTAGAATGTTCTGTGGCTGGTGGCAAGGTTTCTTACAATCTGATAATGATATGACTTGTCACTGACTCAAGTCCAGGGTAGCTGCTATAACCAGCTTGCCTTGATCGACATGGGGCTCTGTGTGCGCAGTTCGGTGCGCATCTAGTTTGTCTAGCAGGAAATTGATTGCTACCGCTGCACGATCAAAGGGCACGGCACCCCCTTCCCGGTAATCAAATATTTATCTGAAGAGAAATGAGGCTGATGGAGAAACTCGCTTGGTGGGGCAGGCATTCAGCGAAAGAGTCATTTCCCGAGCGCAATAATTTTGATTATGGGGGGGGATCGGGGTGACTGCTGTGGCGTGCTGTGGCGGGGTAGAGTTTCTGAGACGCTGGTAAATGGCGGAGCGGCTTACTACATGCCCACGAACTTGCATCATTGAGGCGAGCTGCCGGATCTATCTATCCACCGCGCGCCGTCTCGCACCTCGAATATCTGATTTCGCCACACTCCTTCAGCTACGGGCGTTGGGCGAAACCAGAGTAGAGACACATCTGTAGATACTCGTCTACATCTATTCATCTTCTTTCCTGAACTTCTCTGTGGTGCTCAGGGGACTTGTCGCAGCTGGCAACTTGCACCTCTCCTGGCCAGCCTCGGCACGTTTCCAAACCGCGAGCGATGCATGCATAGGAGCAAGAAACAACAGGTCTAAGCTGGCCACGGCCTTGAAACCACCTCAACGATGGCCGGTGATCCAGCACCCCTGGCGTCACTTTCTGTGACCCATGTTTACTATGTACTACTCGACCATGCCTGCTCCTAGCCCCAACCGCCGTCGCAAGTCCCTGACTGATCGTGTCATCTAGGACCCTCAGGATCCGATCTCGCTGTTCTGCGCATACCTCGCCCTCCTACCCCAGGCCCTCTGCGTGGTCTACGCAACGCTGATATGGTCAACCCGCGAGGTCGAGATCGGCCTGACGTTTGCCGGGCAGCTCACCTGTGAGGCGCTCAACTTCGCGCTCAAGCGGCTCATTAAGGAGGAACGACCGGCTGCCATGCACGGCAAGGGCTACGGCATGCCCAGCTCTCACGCCCAGTTCGTTACCTTCTGGAGCGTCTCCCTCGGCCTGTTCCTCCTCGTCCGGCACAAGCCTTCCAAGGCCATCGACAGCCGAGCCCCCAGCAGCGCGCATACCCCGTGGTCGGTTGGCGAGCGAATGGCCGTCACGGTGGCCGGGGCGGCGGTGGCAGCGCTCACGTCGTGGAGCCGAATATATCTCAACTATCATACGGAGAGGCAGGTCTGGGCCGGGTCCATCACTGGCGTGGTCTCTGCAGTTGGATGGTTCACCATTGTGGGCATTGCAAGGTATACTGGATGGTTGAGATGGGGCCTGGAGACTCCAATTGCGAGAGCGTTCAGGCTGAGGGACCTTGTGGTCGAGGAGGACCCGTGCCAGTCTGGGTGGGAGAAATGGGAGGAGAGAAGAGTGAAGTCTGGCTCAGGCAAGCCGAAGACCAATTGATTATGTCCTTGTTTTCTCTCGGCGTATTAGGTTCATCTTGGGCTGTGAAACCGTGCGAATTACTATATGGTCTTATAACACAGGCTTCACAATGGCGAGGCTGAGCACGTGGTTAGTCTTGTAGGTTATGAGGTATTAAACATTTATGAAGCTCTGCCATAGCCTGCTTGAAGAATAGAGGCTTGTTTATATTGAGGCTTGTTGATAATACGACAGTATTCAGTCGTATTACAGCCTCCTTTCGCCCTAGGGTTGGTTGTGCACGATGGTTTGAAACTCTGGCTTGAACATGGCCGGTGGCTTTTCAACACGAGAGAAATGATGTCGTACAGAAAGACTTACGCAATCACTCTACCCTGATGTCTATCCCATTCGTGCAATTAAGGTTGCCCAAAGCAACACGCAGGGAAAACCGGTGTCATACTGTCATTGCCCTTCAGCTTGGAAACATGTGCTAAGTTGGAGCGTCGATCAACATGTGAAGCATGGACGGCATGAAGCTTATCTACATCAACCTTGCCGTGATTAACAATCCCACCTAAAATTCCCATCTTTGGGGCACTAAAGAAGCATAACGATAACGCCGCTGCACTCTTTGAATGAAAGGTTACATCTCAGCTGGTGCAATACCTTGAGGGCCAGCAGGCATTATGTCATTTAGGAAAGATCCCGGTGTAACTGATACATCTTCGACTACTGTCGGCCTAGTCTATGAAGAGGTATCAAAACTGATCTCGGTTGCGTTCAGCCTCATTGCGTATGACGGCCCAGGGCGGAGTTGCTGCTGCTTCCTTAACTGTACATGACGGGGGCAATAGCACAATTGATGCCTCGGCCCTTCGGTGGACCAGAGTACATATCTCAAAACTCCGTGGTATGGACCGTCATAGGACTATTGAATGTCATACCCAGACTCAACAGATTCTCCTCTCAAAATAGCACGATCACAAGACAAATATGCAATGCTTGCGGAGAGAATCCTCCGCTGTGATCTCGATGGGTGGTGCGAGAAACCGTGGGAGTTCCTGTCCCCACATATACGCGAATGATGCCGTCATCATGATTTTCGATGGCAACTGCTAGAGCTGGGCGGCCAGTCAGAAAGCATCACACGCGACTAGCCGGCTGCACCTGTTGCATGTGGCAATAGACATCATCATGATGGGCGCGTTGTTTGTTGAATTTGATCGAAACGCCCGGTATCTGGTGTCTCCACGGCGGGGTGCCTGATTTGCTGCGAACTCGAGCTCACAGTTTGATTCACCTGACGTCATACCCGATGCAGATTTGCCCGGAGCTTCAACCGCGATGCATATCTGTTAATCACCATATCTTAGTTTGACAATGACTAGGCTCCCGGCCGTACTCCACATTCCGGGCCTTGACATACAGGGACAGGAAGGCTCCTTGGGACATCTGTGTACATCTCGCTTGGTCCGTCGAATCAGAGACCACCCCCCACGCAATGAAGGTAGTAATCTATGACGCGACGAAGCCCGTGCTTTCACATGATGCGGGTTGTTCGCAGTTGCCCCTGTGAGGTAATGGCTGCAAGACAGAGTGAATGTGCATGCCTTGGGGAGTGACGATGGCCAATTCCAGCTTAGGTCCGATTCTGTTAGTTCTCAACATTGTCATTGATGGCACCAGGCACGCATCGTTCCTGCCAGTCTTTCGGAGACCTCGCTTTGCACCTCTCCTCTATTTAAACCCCCAAGCCTGCCCTCCAAGTTCTCGTTCCTTTTCTTCTCCATCACCTCAACAACATCAAAGCTCAATACCAAACAAAACAAACAACTTCCACCACTTTCAAATAAACTTCAAACTACATTCACAATGGATTCCGTCAAGCAGGGCGCCAACTTTGTCTCCGAAAAGGTCCAGCAGGCCACTTCCGGCACCTCCAAGGAGGCCAACAAGGAGGTTGCTAAGGACAACAACGCCAACCTCGGCACTCGGTGAGTTTTCCTCAAGTTCCGCCAACATGCTCATGAGATGAATACTAACAGAGAGTAACAGCGCTTCCGCCGCCAAGGATGCCGCTGGAGACAAGCTCCAGGAGTCGAAGCACGACGCCAAGGGCGAGGCTCACAAGGAAGCCATCTAAGCTGCTTTCTTTTACCTCCTACCCACAAATGTCAAGACAACTTCAAGGAGTCTGGGATTGGTACACTTTTTGGAACGACAATGATGGAGTTGCGATTATGAGTGTGCTTTGATGCACTAGAATACCCTACATAGTTCCTGGCACGAAATCAACACGAGTTAAACATCACATATGGTTTATGTGACTGTGAATTCTACATCTTAATGGTCTCGCTCTACCACCAGACTCGCCCTAGATGCATGTTCAACTTGCTGATATTTTCGGGACCAAGCACGCACGTTACAGATCCTTCTTGATTTTACGCTCGCTCAAGGCTGAGGAAATGTCCCCAACTGCCCAGTATATAGCGTAGAAGGGAATCAAAACCCAGAGCATGTTGAAGAAGACAAGGTAAACCCACATATACATGAAGTTACTTCCGTCAAGGTTGAGATTGCCAACTAACCACTCAGGGCAGAAAGTCATGAATCCTGCATCACAATGTTAGCCAAACGATGATGCCGCTCCGCCTGGGTTCATCAACACGGCCTGGAAATCTGGAATACGAACCTCCATATATTTCACAAGTAGCAAGAATAATTATCCATATGCTAGTCTTGGGGTCCCGCTTAGCAATGCAGTAGCAGATATATAACGCTAGCGTTCCATCAAAGAAGACAGTCAATAGCTCGAGACTGACGACGCCGAGGTCTACACCGGCCCATCTCTTATCAGCGCGGGCGTAGACCATCCACAACTGGGCGAATGGGTTGTTTCCACCCGATTGGGCCCCATAGACACGGTCCCCTCCATGTAGGAGGAAGTTGTACGGTGTGGGGAAGAGGTTGTGGTCGGGGGCCAGCTCCGAGGTAGGGATGTAGGAGAAGAAGCAGTGATAGAGGAAGCTACCCTCGAGGATGAAGTGGCATAGTGCGTCGGCAAGGTGCCAGATGAAGAAGAAGCGGAGCGTGCCCGATGTCGACTTGGAGAGGACGAGCTTGGAGGTCGAGTATGCGGCGAGGACAATGGCCACGGTGGCCAGCAGGGAGATGACGGTGGTGGTATCAAACAGGTCGGGAGGAAGCCCCGAATTGGTCGATGAGGCTTGGGATGCCATGTTTCTCAATCGAGGTGTCGCGGATGGATCAGATGCCCGCGCAAGGGATGTGGCTTGTTGGAAGCACGGATATTGGTTTCACATACAGAAATAGAGCCACGAGGAGAATATCCACCAGCCGAGCTCAATTCATTTTGAGGGTCGTAGCCCACAACGGGTTGGTGGATTTTGGGGCCGATTCAGGGGCCGCCCGCACCAGGATCCATGCCGTCCTGGCACGTTATAGTGTCTACTGAGTCCTGCATACCTTACTCGGTATGGAAAGGCCTCCTGTAGATGCTGTGATGTGCTCTAGACTCGTGCCAATTACGAATGAACTTCAGCTCTGTGCTTCACGGGATGCTGATTCGGAATAAACGAACTCAAAGTCCCAGCTGGATGATAAGATTGGCTTACTATAATTAATATGCCTTACCTGCTGGTACCTGTGAATCCATAGTATTACTATGATGGACCGGATGGAAGCCACGTCCGAAACGACAGGGCTGTGTATGACGTTGGCTCACTGAGCCAGCGTTTCCTACGTTCATATTCAGTAACTAGGCATGTGTCTATAGAACACGGCATACAATATCCGACTGAGCTGTACGGCTATATGTCTACAAAAGAAAAGCCGCCAATTCAAGCAGTGGATGGCCTCATGAACATGGCCTCACACCCGCAATAGAGAACACGCATCACAACATACTGCTTTCTCAAGTCCATCTGCCAACCTGTGACGAGCATCATCCGCCTGCAGACGGTTTGCGTCAGTAATTAGCGCTGGCTCCTGCGCCAATCATCCCACCTACCCGCCAGATTTCCGGTCTACTCGAGTCACCCAGACAGGCTCCGTCCCCGAATGGGTCCCAGAAGCCTCCAATTAGCACAGATAGCTTGATTCTAATTTGGCGACCTCCCCCAACACCCTTGCTTGCTAGCCTTGCGGAACAGTTGCATTGCCGGCTTCTATTCAGAGCTGCGGCTGGCGTGTGGTACCACCATCGCTTGTCACCAGCCAGCAATTCTTGGGCGCAAGAAGACCTGTTCCCGTGGTCCCTCGCGGCATGAAATGGCACGACGGCTTCGCAACCTCATCGCTGACGCCCAGCATGGGGACGGATAATAATACCACTAACTTTAGTGGACTTGTCAACCTCAGCTTCAAGCTAAGCTGACTCTTGTAATGGCAGGCTAGGAGACGAGCAATCCTTTGTTGCTAATCCTCTGTTGCTCCAGTCCGCTGAATGCTTCTTAAAAACATAGCCTCGCCCTTCCGTATTCCGTCCTGCTCTTCATCCTCCACCCAGGTCCCAGTCACTCCGAGCCCGTTCTTTTCTCGCAGTACATCCGCTTACGTGAAGATCATTGGCCTCTCCCGTTGAAGATACCCCTCTAAGTGCTACCCGCCAACCACAATCAGCCCCTCCACCAGGGTCCCCGAATCAGGACAGCTTGCTGAGAGCATCACTTCGACACAACCCGAGCGTTGTTTCCTGCATTATCCCGCTCTTCCTTCTCGTCCCATTTCCCTTCTCTTCGATTAAACTGCCGAAAACCTTCTCACAATGTCGTCCCTCCGTTCATCAGCGTTCCCCCAGCGCCTGTCCGGCCTGTCGCAGAGCCAAAGCGCCAACGAAACCGCCAGTGCGCCCTCGGACCAACGTGACGATGCGAAGCGCAACATGTTCAAGAACATGAGGGCTCTGCCCACCCAGCACTACTGGGATGTCTATTTCGACGGGTGAGCTTTCCTGAAATATCTCCCTGGGACTTCACTCTACCCTCGTGAACCCATGGGTGACGCCTGTTGGCCAATTAGCGTGCTGACCGTTTTTGCCAGACAAGCGAGAGACCAGAAGGAGGGAGAGGAGAACTACCACTCGAACCTAGAGAAGCTAGATACCCAGATCGAGTCGGTCCAGGACTTCTGGCGCTACCACAACAACACCCCCATCGACCAGATCAAAATGCGAGAGTCTATCTACCTCTTCAAGCAGGGCTTCCGCCCTGTCTGGGAGGATCGCCGTAACATCAGTGGTGGCAGCTGGACATTCCGTGTCCCCAAGACCTCGGGCCCCGAATTCTGGACGCAGATCCAGCTCCTGGCTATTGGCGAGCAGCTCCAGGGCGCTCTAGAAGGAGGTGAGTTTGAATCTATAATCCCCGTGGCGGAGTTTCATCCTTTTCTTTCCTCGAGCAAAGGACGGAAGGGACGGATTGGACCACAAACCAGAAAATGGGCAACCTGCTAACACCATGTCTCTAGATGACCAGCTTGCGGGCGTTGGACTTTCGGTCCGTTTCAACTCACACCTCATCACCATCTGGCACCGCGAGGGCGCCCGGAAGGCCTCGATCGACGGTCTCCTCAAATGCGTGATGGAAGCGCTCCCAGCCGAGCTGCAGCCGAAGCCCGATACCTACTTCTACAAGAAGCACTCCGAGCACGCTGGCTTCAAGGCTCCACCTGAGCTGCAGGCTGTCTTGGATTCCCAGAAGAGGGCGGAAGCTCTCAAGACCCAGAAGAAGCAGCAGCTGCAGCAGGAGCCCATCCCTGAGTAACATCTCGATATCGGGGCCCTTTTTTCTTTTCCTTTTCAAACAAATTACTTCCTTTTTCTACTTTTTCTTCTTCTATTTCTTCTTTTTTCTTTTTCTCTTCTTTTCTTTTCAGGCTACGTGCCTTTCTATTCAATTCTCTGTGTGGAAAATCACATTTGGGAATGAGGTTCATCATCAGCATATGAGATCGATAGTGTAACGAGAGCGAAGGCATCGATCTGGCGTTTTTTCTTTCTTTAAAGTTGGGCGGCAAACATACTAGGGTTAAATAGACCATCTGCTTTGTCTTTTGATTTAGCTCAGTGAAAAGCTGCTCATTCATTCCGACTTCTAGTATTCTTTAACTGTTCACGTCATCTCTGTCTCGTAGTAGAATTGTCGGTGGCTAGAGCTGTCCGTCCAGAACTTTTGCATTTCTTTTCCACTTTGGAATGGTAACTGACTACCCAGATTTGATATTTCTTGGACTCTTGTACGTGCCCAATATGTGTTTCTTTTGAACTCGTCCTGCTCCACGAAGTCTATGTAGCCAGACCAAACTTAAATACAAAACAAGCTGCCCTTCACCCCCCCAACGCCACGCGAGAAGCCAAACCCCGGTTATAAATACGATGACCCATGCATACACGAGAAAACTACACAGAAGATGCCTCCTCATCTCCATACGCCGGCATTCTTCATCACGCCGTCAAATTCCGCCAGCTCTACCCCTCTCGCAACACCCGCCCCGCCGTTCGCTTCCAGGATCATGTCCTTTAGCACCTCCTCGTCCACATCCTCCTTGAGCACGGCGGCGACGCGGCGGAGGTGGGCCAGAGTTATGGGCCCTCCCTGGCCGTTGGTGAAGAGCCGGAAGGCCTCCTCGAGCTCGTGGCGATGCGCCTCGGCCGTGTTGTCCTCGCGTGAGTGGAACTTGAGGGCGCAGATGGCGAGGAACGGTTCGTACGTCGCGAAGCCGTCGGACTCGGGGTCGAGAATGGAGACGAACTCCTTGAGTTCGGCGGGCGAGGAGGCGGGGATGCCGAGAGCTCTGTGAGTTTTGGAGATGCGGTTAGCAGGGATGAGACGATCACATGGAGCGAAAGTAGGCTGAGGGAGGAGGGGGGTATAGTTTCCCTACATTAGAGCCGATTTGAAGTCGTCAATCGGGATGACTCCGTTCTTCTCGCCGTCCATGGGCTCGGCGAAGAGGCTGAAAGCCTCCTTGATCTCGCCCTCCTCTTGCGCCGAGATGTTGTGCTCTTTTGCGAGCTTCGATCGCGGCGGTGCCTTGGGTGCGCTGGCTGCGGCCCCGGTTTTGCGCTTTGGCGGCTGTTGACGTACTGTTAGAGGAGTTTTCCATAGGCCTCTTATTGAGGGACTCACTCACCATCTTGTTCTGTGACACGCCCTGGGGCTAGATGTGAGTAGATGCGTCACGGCGCACATCCGCTTTCTGGACTTGCTATCAACGATAAGATACTAAGACAGTGTGGAGTGCATGAATTAGTAAATAGCACTGTGTACATATTACCTCGGAACCCATTGAAAAAAAATTGACTTCAGACCTTTAACCTCATCCACCAAACAATCGCTTGATGACCTCTTCAAGTCAAAGCACAGCTGCCCGGACTGCTACGATTAGCTCTCCAGCTCTCGTGATATTCTGCATTCCCAACGGCCCGACGGTAGGTCTCCAGTAGGCCCGAATGACGACACCTGGCTCTGGTCAAATCCAAGCCCAAAACTCCGCTTCTAAAAATGCTAGAGCTTGCCGCCTCCTATGTCCTAGAGCGAGCAAGTGTGGACAGTGAAGCAATATTGAAATCGGTCCGTCAAAATTGACAGATGTCCAGAGCACCGCCAGCGGCGCCGTTGTCCTTGGTGACAGGTGCCTCGCGGTCAATGGAGATATTTCTTCATGCACATGTGGTGATTTGTATTTCAGCGTAACATGAACATCATGGGACATAACCCAGGCCGTGCCTTCGGCTCAATTAAGATAAACACCTGTCCTCCATTCTCCGTAATCTCATCAACTACTCCCCCATTCCCCTTGCGCCTGGCCCTGGTCGATGCCCTTGACACTGAAAAGCATACTCATATTTTTGCCTCCGGTGGTCTGGTCGGTGTTGTTAGTACCGTGCCCAACATGTTGTGACACTGGAGGGCATTTGATTACTTCCTCACTTGAAGTTGTTCTTCATCTCACGGAGCTTGCCCATGACGCTGACCGGGTCGGTCTCGCCCGTTGCCTTCTGTATTTCTGGGTCCTGTTGCACAATCTGGTCAGCTTCTTCGAGTTGCTTTTATGAAGCAAATCCAGCAATACCTCAACTCTCATGAACACGTTGTGTTTCTAGTTTTGACGCATCAGCTCAATATATTCGTTCAAATTAGGCAGGACGTTTGACGTAGAGTATCACAAACCTTCTCATCACCAATGGTGAACTTGCCGGTCGTCACCTGGTTGTTGTCGGCAAACGCCTGCAGCTTCTTGATCGCGTCGGTTTGGGAGACGGAAACGGTGAACTTGACGTTAGACTTGGTGTACTCATGGCCGGGCTATCCTCGCAAGTTTTGTTGGGTCAGCAGGTGAGTCCCTTAAACTACGAGCTTTTAAATCTTGGTTTGCATCCCCCGGGCGGGTGTTCAACGCACATAGACAACAGTCTCATCGGGGAGGGCTCCGAGGCGCTTGTTGAGAGCCTCGTGCATCTGGTCGGCTGTTCCCTCGAAGAACTTGCCACATCCTGTGAACCAGTATTAGGTGTCTGTCACTTTGATTATGTCTTCATCCCAGTCCAAGCACGTTGAGGAATGAACAGGATGCTTACCGCTGATGAAGAGGGTATCGCCAGTGAACACGGCCTTGCCAGTGCTATCCTCCAGGAAGTAGCAGATGCTATCCTGAGTGTGGCAGGGGGTGTAGATGTTGGTCACCTTGATATCACCCAACTTCGTAACTTCGTTGTGCTTAGGAGTCTGTGTTACTCCCTCGCAATCCTTGCCACCGATGATGGTCAGGTTGGGAGTGCCGAGCTCAGCAAGCTGCAAATAGGCCAAAGTAAGTTCATGTTTGAATAACTTGCCATATGGCGATTTCCAAACTCACAAGGTTCTTGTTTCCTCCAGCATGGTCCCAATGGCTGTCGTTTGTTAATTACAGCCCTCTATCAAGAGTCTGGTGGTTGGGTTCTGGGCATACTGGTGGGTGTTGACAATGGCAGTCAGGTTGATCCTGCCAGAGCTGATCGCCTCCTTGAGCACTGGAACAACCCTATCAGGCCCATTAGAGGTCATGCACAAACCGGGAAAATGGCAGCCTAGAAGTCCTTACTCGGGAGGGTTTGCTGGGTCAATGATCACAGCATCCTTGGACTTGTCATCTATAATGAGGTAAGAGTAGTTATTACTACTTCCCACCCCTGCATTGATGATCAGTTAGCTTTCTTTCCCTCGAGTAGTTATAAATGATGATATCTCTGCCATGAGATAACACTTCTTCACGAATACTCACACAGTGGAATAGCCTCAATATGCATGGTGCGGATATGCTGAAACTATGATGCCAGAACAACGGCCGGTCAGCCTTAAAAACAAATTCCAAGGCAACTGGTTGGAACTCACGGGCCTTGCAATGTGTCTCAGAGGGAATTTTCGTAATGCGAGGCGATTCATCACTCTACGAGAATGGCAGGATGGTGGTTGATGGTGCTCTATGTTGGCATAATTACAAATCACCTATGTTGTAATGTAATGACGTTGGTTGGTGGAAGTCCAACGCGGAGTTACGGTGGAGCAGATAGGCAAAATCGCAAATAAACAGCGCCCATGGCAGCATGCCGATGACCTCTCTATTTCCTGTTTACAAAACCAAAACGGTAACATCGACGACAGCGAACGTCGCAGTGTAGAAGGACAAAAATTTCAGAGCCGCGAAGTCATAACGAGATTCACGTGATAACTTCACTTGCAGAAGAGAAGGCTAAGCAAGCAGTCATCTCACATGCTACGTGGGAATATTTATGGGTATCATCTATCTCACACAGCGCCAATTGGCTTCGGTTTCCAATTTCCCTGGTATACCGCCCAACCGGTGGCTGACGCACCGTCCTGGGAATCCGATGCTGGGGCAGCGGCCGGAGGGAATGGCTGGGGCGGTTCCTGATCCTCCTTCTCCTCTGCTTCCACGATGTCCCGCGACAGTCGCATGCATTTAACATATGCCTGGTTGCCTGGCAGCGTGCCCTGCAGGCGAGAGAGGCAGCTGAGCAGGGTGCCGACGTCCCACCGCCTCTCCAGTGCAAGACGGCTTCTCCTGTCGGCATCAGGATCATGATCCCCTTCTTCCCGCAGGTAGCGCAGCAAAGCATCCTCACACGTTTCAGACAGCAGGTCATCACCGGCCAGGTGTCTCCAGTAGTACCCCCAAATCCACCGTAGCGCCTTCTTGGCTGCAGAGCGAAGCTTGGCCAGGGAGGGTAGCTGTTCATGTGTCGACTGGTGCCTCAGCTCAACGAAAGTAGCCGGTAGACCAATGGTCCTGGCAAGGGAGTACATGCTCTGCTTGCGCTGCTTGTCTTGGTGGCCGTCCAACAAACCGGTGACGAATCTGGAGAGTGGAGCCGTCCGCTCATCAGCAAAGGTTCAAGGTCAAGACCGAAACTTTGGTCCGTCACAATAGCGCACTCAGCTCAGCGCTTGGTAGGAAGCGGCCGAGCAAGGCCTGGGCCATGTAATGTAATGGGGGGAGGGACTAGGGGTGTGGTATAGAGGGTAAAACAGGCATAAAACAGGTCTGGTGCTTGGAATCGATAGCGTCACACTTACCTGCTGAACGCTGCTGAGTAGGCCGCTCTTACGGCGTAAGCCGACGATGCCGTCACATTGTCGACCCCGGTCGCCTTCGTGTTCACCATCAGCTCCTCGTCGCTCAACACCGCTGCCGTAAGCAGGGCCGTGGACTCCACCATGTGCGGGCAGTTGCCGCGCTGCATCCACATCGACACCCGTGCCACGGCCTGATGAAGCTGTAGTCGTTGGTTGCGTCTGAGCCTCTCCACGCCCGCCATCCTCCGACGCCGCCGCCGCTCCTGCTCTCCTGCTTCAGGGTTGCCAAGATCATCTTTGCCCTCTTCGTCCCCCTCACTTAAGCCGCCGTGCTTAGTGGTATCTTGGTGCCACATACGGCTGTGCTCTCCGAGCCATGACGGAGACGCAGCATAGAATTGGTGCCTTACAAGAAGCAGCTCCTCCCTGTCCCGCCACGGCGTCAGGATGTACTTGACCATCCCTGTGGTGTGGTCGAAAGGCACAGAGCGATCGGAAGGGGGCAAGAACTTTGTGAGAGGAAAAGAGGAGTCTTAGACCGGTGTGTGATTTGTTGGCGCTGGGTTAGACGATTGGGCGTAACGTAGTTGAATTTTTCAGCTCCTTCACAGCTCTGTCTCGTCCTTCCCTGCCATGAATTTTTCGCGGTCTCCTCTTTAATTTGTTTTTTCACCTTCTCGAACAGAGCTAGAAGGTATAAAAAATTCCAAAATGCAGAAGCATCCACAACAAGGGTGGTCCCAGAGGAGAGGGGCTGTTGCCCAGGCTCTGGCGGTCTCAGTCTGGACCGATGTCAACCTCATCTTATTGCCTTCAGGCCTTGCTGCAGTGCTATTAGTGTGACATGGCTGGCATGACTCTCCCTCCTGGGAGGTAGGTAGGTACCTTTAGTGTGTAAGCGCCCACTGACACGGTCACACAGAAGGCGGTACAGAGGGTGCCTAGCCTGCCGCCTGGGTACCTGCCGGCCTACCCAATATACTACGGTTAGGCAGGTAGTATTACCCTCTGGGCCACCTGAGGTGCTAGCAGCTGCGCCGATCCAGCACCTTGCAAGGAGGGATGGAGGTAAGCAGCCGGTCCCATCACCACAATGGGCTTACCGCACTGAGACAGGGCTCCCAATAAACGACTGCAACCTCCATACGTGACCTAATATATCCTGGCGTACCGCTGGGAGGAGGCCAACCATGCTCCATAGTCCCTCCATGATCCTGCGCGCGGCCGAAATGATGGATGTATGCATGCATGCACCTCTTCTCGCAAGCTGGCCCAAACTAGCTTTTCGACATGCCTTGTTGGCCGCCACTTTCGGTGCCTGGCCCATCCCCGAGAGTGCGCAAGCCGAAACTGACCCGCGATTCCGCAACTGAATGAGTGAGAAAAGAAGTCCCCACGATCCGCATTGTCCTCGTTTACGAGTCCGAATCCCACTGTGTTGTCTTGACCACCCGCCTCCATGCGATCCTACCCGGACTTCATTCGGTAATGACATTGGGAGAGAGAACATCGAAATGATTCTGATCCCGGGCGCTGCGTTTCGTCGTATTCTAAGCCCGAAATGATATCCTACACATATTTTCAGACATGACACGGGGTCCTTCCTCGGCCTTTGGCGTGCTCTCGGTCTATTCTCCTCCTCCACAGACAATGCAAGGCGGGGAGGGGCCAATAACTCAAGTCTTGCAATTGCCAACGTGGACCGGTCGCCGGAGCATACGCTAATCCCGTCTCTGCATGCCTCCCAGCCCTCGCCAGCGTGTCCCGTGTTACAGATGACATCTCATTCATCAGCTCGTCATTTCTTATTGTCCCAAGGCGAGCTTGGCGACATGAGTGAATGTGCGTTAGACCGGTCCTCTCAAGCTTGGAGCATACGCGTCGTTTCGGTCGCTTGTCTTGATAACCATCTTACCACCCTCCATTGGACCTGGCGGGTGTGACAATCACAGTGCGTCGCGCACCTCTGAGGGGAGGTGCTTTTTTCAGCGGCAGGTGACCAACCCACCGTTAGGTAAGGCATTATGGATTATGGGCAAAGAGGAGCCAGAAGCCACCCATGCTCATGCCTGGCGGCGCTGGCCATCATTGCGATGCAAAAGGAAATGGGCTTAGCCCAGCGCCTAAGACAGCCTTGAATGATCGACCACGCTGGACGGGACTGCCGGGAGGAAGACCCAACAAGTTGTCGACCACAAATGATTTGGTTAGGTTAGGGGTAGGTATTAAACAGGGCGCCGGCGCGCTCGACCAGGGTCTACGTCTCCTCCGAGGCAGGCTTGCCCAAGCCTATTTCAATATGTGCGCTACCTTAACAGGTAGAATCAACGAAAATTATGTTTTGCACGCCCCCCCTCCCTCCACCTTTCTCTCTCCCCCACCAAAACCAACATCCCCTGGAGTACCTAGCAATTCGTGGGTGGGAAGGCTCGGGTCCCTGGGACTGGGCCATGCTTCTTTCGTATCACACAGATCTAATCAGCCGACCATGGCGCTTTATTACATAGAGCCGGGCTAAGCAAAGTCGTGATAGGCGGCTTGGCGGTAGAAGCCACTCTCTCTGCTCCGGGACGCGATAGGCATGAAAATTAGAGCCAAGTCCCGAGTGACATTACGTCGCTCTCGCCTAGAGACCTCGACGAGCCGCGAAGGTTTTGGGCCCGAGTCATTATTCACCACCGGGCTCTGCCAGCATGCCGACCTGCTCTACGATAAACAGAGAGTGGGAAAAGCCATCAATGCGGCGGTCACGCACGGGCCGCACCCCCGAAGTGTGATGCGTGAGCTGCGCTTTGAGAATTATTCCCTCCCCGTAGATGTCGCCCCCCGGAGCTGCTCCTGCGATGAGTAAGTATGCGAGCTGTTCCATCAGACACAGACCGACCGGCGGTCGTACCCACACACCATCCCTGGAGACCACGCAGCCTGATGTAATGGGCTGGTTTTAAAGAGGAGGGAGGGCCACAGCGACGCACGTCCGCGCAGAAACCTGGTACCTTGCCGGCTGGCCTCGCCTTTTAGTCCCCCCCAGCCCAGGAGCGAGAGCGCGGCAAGTACCATTTACCGGCCAGTCATAGCGTAAGGTAAGGCCGGGCATGGTTCCATGGCGGGGTCGGTCTATTTCAGACGTCCCCTGCCTGGGCGCAAGAAAGCCACGCTCGGGTGAGGGACGCAAGGCCATGCTGCCCCCCAATCAAACCCAATGCGCTGCACTGACTCGAAAGGTTGATAGCGGGAACATGGGCCGTGGTCGTGCCAAAAGTATGGAAGAGAGGGGGAGGGGAGGAGGCGAAGGGGGGCCCCTTGGCTGTCGCTGCAAAGATCAGCCTGGATTTTCATGCTCGCCCGTTTGCTGCATCCGACGCGGCCCAGCGCCTGCCCATTTGCTCCGGGACTGGAATTCTGTTTCCTATAGCTTCACGGTGACACCCTGCCCCCTGGGATTCTGTCCTGCCTGTCATTCCGGCGGTTCTGCGAGCGCCAGACGCCACAGCGATCGAGGAATGCCTTGGTGGCTTGACAGCCCCCAAGCCACGGCACGCGGTGGAGAATGTGGCGCAAAGAGGCCGTGTGCGACGCATCTCCGAAATGGGGAATTAAGAGAAACCCGCAGGGTGCAGGGTGCAGGGGTGCAAAAGGAACCAGCGGGGGTGAGTCGAGAGTTTGGGATTTGCCATCCAATCAAGGCCCGGGAAAGTCAGTTGGGCAGGGACTGCACGGACCCAGCCTCACATGTCTGACAGGGATCCACTGGCGGCTCTGTTCGCTTGATTAGCGTCATCGTGGGTTAGCTTGTGCATGAAAGCAGTTGAGTTGGATGAACGAATTTGTCTGCAGTGTTGGCTCGTAAAGCACGCAGAGGGAGAATGTCACGGTTCTGGCACGGCTCGTACTGGGTTTGGTTGTGTTGCTCCATTTGTGGGGTTCTATCTAATAAAATTCAATAATCGCTATTTGAGCCTGGGTATTCATGTCCTGATAATCTGCTCATTGCACCGTTGCGGGCGCCCGTACAATGCCCATCCCAATGCCATTTCCTAGTTCAGTGCGCCAGTTGAATAATTCAGTCCAAGTGTTTTTCGTCGTTAATCATGCCAGTAATCCTGATCCAAGCCTGTTGACATCAAGTGCGTAGGTTTTGAGTTATGTCTCGCTTATGAGGAGGCATCCTCATCTTCCTCTTCCTCCTCGTCATCCTCCTCTTCTCCATCATCAGAGTTGGGAGGCTCCCAGGTTTCCTCGAGCTTCAGGCCCTTTCCGGTGGGTTCATTGGAACGGTAGGTGGAGCTGAAGAGGGATGAAGTGGTAGATCGATAGTTGTTTAATTGGGGATCCTCATCATACTTCTCCGGAGCATCGTAAAGGCCCATCCCAACAAGGATCTCCCCCTCTTCCTCGGGTTCTTCCAGTGTGTCATACCGAACTGGATCTTCAGAGACCGCAGGCTGGGGCTGTTGAGAGTACATGGTCGAGTCAGGAGTAGGAGGTGTAGTATTGCTGAGACCGTGCATGTATGGTTGCCATTCGGTGGACTCCGCAACAGGCGTCTCGTTCGATGGGAGCTCCGTATAAATGGGGAAATATGATCCATTGTTGGTGTTGATGGTATCCCAGCCGGTAGGGTTCAGATATTGGGGGACAGTGCCTGGGTACTCAACAGGAAGAGGGGAGAATCCAGATGAGGGAGATGTGTTGGGTGAGTAGGAGGTCATCATTGGTGAGAGCTGGGGGCATCCTGTGGATGCGTCTTGCTGGTCAGGAAATAACCGGGTGGTGGTGAGAGGGTAGTATTGCTGCGGTAGTTGATAGTTGGTCTGAATTCCGTAGAATTGTGAGCTGGGATGCCAGCTAACAGGTCGTGAAGCTCTGGGATTTGCTGGTCGAGAAATGGGAAGCTGCTCGGGAATGTGTTGTGGCCGCTTGTAGAGTTGGTTGTCGTTGACCATCATGTTTCTTCGTGAAGATGCGGCGGGTCTTCGTGGGCTGTTGTTGGCGCTGGTGGGCTTTACTACTCTCATGGATGATCCAGAATATTGTACACTGCTTCGAGATCGTCGTCGAGATGCTTCGGAAACAGCCTGCTGCGTAGCCCAGGTGTCGAGAAAAGCATCTTGTGGCTCCATGGGCAGAAAACCTGGAGAGATGCCCCCGTTGAGAGAATACATTATGGGTGGTGTGGGTGGCGGTATATGGTGTAGAGAAGTGTGTGTTGTTGTGGGAGTGAGGAAAGGAAACAAGATGTGGGAGAGAGGTGACGGTTGGTTTAAAAGGAAACGCCGAGAAGAATTAAGAAATGTCAGAGATCCTTGGAGTAATCAGATGTCCGGTTGATGAAGAGACGGACAAGCCCTGGGTTCCAATGGGTTATGTATCATAGTCCGGAAGAGACATTGGAGGGCGCTACTATGAGGTGGTTCCCTGCGCCAGGGAGTGAGAAAACATGTGCCACATTAGGATGGTC